AAAATCAATATATGAGAAATTTTAAAAATACAAAACTTATAAATTTTATATTTTCTAATTAAAAAATACAAACAATTATTTAAAAACAATTATAAATTTATTAGAATTTTTAGAAATAAATCATATTTAAAAGATAATATTGTATTTGTTCCAATAAATTTTTCTAAACAAGTAAATATAAGAAATTTAATTATTCAAAAACTTTTTAAATCCTAATTCTAGTAATATTTTAAATAAAATCAATTAAATTTATTTTTATACTTGAACCTTTACATGTTTCATTTATTAATTACTAGTGAAACATCTATAATTAAATTTTATCTATTTTTTAATAAATTATATAAAATATTTTTAATAAAAATATAATTTAACATAAAAACTTAAACTATAGCAAATAAATTTATTATTTTATATTACATATATTGAATAGATTAAAATTAAAACACAGATTTTTAAAAGTTTTTAAAAATTTTAAAAATAAAGGTTTTTGTTCAATTTTAGATTTTTTGGATAATATTATACTTTCAACTTTAGATATTTATGCAAATTTATTTGTTTATAATCATTTTGAATATTATTATGAAACAATATTTCAATTATAGATGTTTATAAATAGATGTAATTGAAAAAATCATGATAAAATAATGTTAATTTTTTTATTAGGTATCATTTAATGAAATGAACAAGAACATCTAATAATAGAAATATTTATTAAATATTTTAATATAATTGATCAATATTCACTAAAAAATTTTTATAGTCTTGTTTGTAGAAATACCACTTGGAATTAATAAATTCAAAAACTCTTAGACAATATGGTATTTTTATAGATTATGAAAAACTCGAAAATAAATTTATTAAAAATTTTATAAAATAAAAAAATATTCTTTTTCTAAATTTTAATTAGATTCTTTATTTATTTTATCAAGTATTTTCTTTTGAATTTTTTTAAAAATTTTTATTAAAAAACAAAATAAATTTAAAATTAAAGGAAATAATAAACAAGCTAAAGTTTATATTCTATCAATTAAAAAATTTTTTATATTAATTGTTATTATTATTTAATCTTATTTATTATTTTTAACTAAAATTTTATTTATTTGTTTATTTGATATTTGTTTGTTAAAAATTTATTTTATTAATAAAATTTTTACATTAAAATACTGTATTATTAATTTCGTGGGATATTAATAAGGACAAGCGATTTCGCGCAAATTTCGCGAATTTCGTTACGTGCTGATCATTTAATCAGTTATTAGGCACGTGAATAGACGTACAGTATATTTTTCATTAATGCAAGGAGTTATCGTAATTCGGAAATTTCACTCGAAATAATTGTGTTCGCACCTGCAAGGGTGCTGTATTAGTGACGCAAAGGTGACGCACGAAATATCCATGGAGAACACCCCCCGCGTGATCGAAAATAGCAACTAGAACTCTGCTGATCGTTTATAGACAAGTGCAACTACAAACACAGTATGAATAATCATTGGTGCAGTATTTACTTGACGATCAGTAATATTACAATAGGAACATTTAAAACTAGAAATTAAGGGATTATCGTTGGCAAAATACGTACAGTTGTGAACTTCTAAAGTAATACGTAAGCGGAAATGTTGATCCAATTACCATACGCACTCTCTTTACGTAATTGACCCCATCGATGTCCCTAACTCCGAATATAGAAATCGAATAATTATTGACTATGTACATGTGGTGCATAATACGTACTGTATGCAGTGACCATCGTTATGTACCATCCCACTCGTGTGACCCGTCTCGGCCGATTTCTTAAAATATTCAAATCCCATATTTTCCCTATTCTTGACTCCAATTCCTTCGTCGTAGCAATGTCAACCTTATTCATTTCTTATGAATCGTTCTTCTCGGTTAATTTTCGATAATGTTTGAATGCCATAAGTTCATCTTTTTTTAACTTCAATTTCTTTGTCATAGTATTATCCAACTATAAATATGCCATGATCACCTATCTTAAAAGAATTTGATGATTTTCAAATGCCTTTGCTCATCTAATTTCTTCAAAATAGTAATATCCAGCTATAAACACGCCATCAAATCACCCATCTCAGAGGATTTTAAATAATATCTGAATGTTTGTATATTTAATAAAAATTCGTGTAATTGAGTCGTGGGTGAGAAAATGAAGCTAATAATAAACGAGCAAATAGATTGGTGAGTGAAAGAGTAAGTACATTAAATGGATAGTAAATGAGCAGGTAAATAAATGGACAGGAAAATGATAATACATGGGTAATGAGTGGAATGTACAGAGTAGGTAATTTATAATTCAAATTTGATGATAGCACAAAACCGATCTGTTCTTTGATTTTTAAATTTAAAACCGAATTGAATAGAACTGAACAGTCATTCGATTTTTTGATTTCAAATTGTGATCACTACTCTGTGAAAATACAGTATATCTTAGTTGCTTTATTTAATTACAATTTTACAAAAATCAATCGAACTTTAAAGTATTAGCGGTGCAATATTAATTGAAGTGTTGCTTCATTGCGTGATCCATACAATGTCAATTATGCGTGAGACTTTTGCACGAGTCACCTTGAATAAATGTGTTATTTTTTGTATGAGAAGCATCGATGCTCCACACCTTCGCGTAAATCATCATTTTAAAAATATCGAGATTAATTATAAATAAAGTGTTATCGGTAGGAGAGAATAGTTTTCACGCGCAGAAAAGTTAACTAGTGTGCCATTCATGTAAAATTGGGGAAGTTTATTTGCTCGATTCAGCTTATATTACATGCATCGCTAACTCTTCTATACTTTCAAATTCCTAATGCTAAGATATTCCCACCGCTACTTTCCTCACTACGTAGTTATTTATGACGCAAGACAATGTTTAAGCCACGTAAAACAATACGTAGTGGGTCCTCGTGATATACAGTACGTAAATAGGTGGCTGATTATATTTCGTCGGTCGTCATTTTATTAGTTACAGTAGAATAAATAAGAATTATAAGATAGATGTAAGAATTACATAGGATACATAGGGATGAGGATAGCGGGCGGCAAGATGCTACTCCCATATCGTTTCTTCAAGTATCACATATGAATAAAGGATCGAAGTGAGAATAACTATATTGCACGCCCGATATTGTACGAACTATAAATCTGGCTAGAATTTACACAGTACAACGCAAAAAATTGATGAATGAATATAAATGGAAATTCACGCAGTCCCCCGTGTCCAAGAAAATATTCTATGACCATTGTATTCAAATTAAGATATTTAGAATGTTTAGGTGCGCAGCCTCCCTCAGGCTGCGGGAGTGCAACAGTGTTCTATCCACAAATTATTTACTTACTGCGGTAGAACGAGGAAAACAAAAAAAGTAATCGAAACAAAAATACATTTCATCATTAATTTAACTTGGGCATCAAATCCTGGCAGTAATAATCTTCCTGTAACTTCGTATCATAGTTTTACAAAAAGCAAATACATTTTGCCAATAATGATTACGTATTTACAATAGTTTTTGAACCGGTTGATCAGTAACGTGTGGTGTTTGCGATAAAGGGTCGAATGTTTTCGAAGGTAATGATTGTTATTTCTTCTGCTGCTATATTGTTTTCCTGCTAATCGAATCTTCCATCCACCCTCCCGCATATCTATCACTATTTTACTTTAATGTTAGCACATATTACTATGCTCCTCTTCTGCTGCCGACTTTCGTCTGCCCATGTACTCCCCATAACATGCAATTGAGTTAGACACGGATGTGTACTCCCCACATGTGTTATTTGCGATGAGAATACAGCTCGTTCCCATTAGCATTTCTTTATTTATATCATTATTATTATTATTATTATTATTATTATTGAGTCAGATAATACTGTACAGCAGTTGCCGTTACAATTCGTAATTGGTTACCATTTATAAATGCGCCAACATATGATTACGTATTTAATTTCAATTTTTTTCTTGGAATTGTGCTCAAAGAAGGTAGTTTAATAGGCAGGGGTTTATTTCAAAAGGAGTAATAATCACAGCTTACTAAAATTCGAAATTTTCCTAATTGTGTGTTTATTTGAATTTAAACCTTTCTAATTGTTTGTGTTTATTTGAATCCGAACGTTTGCCAATTTTATGCATTTATTAAATCAGGCATTCACCAATTTTATAGGTTTATTCGAATTCTTGGTTTTCCTGGTTCTTGAAAAGTCCTTAATAACATCTGCCTTTCTTTAACATCATTAAATTAAAATGAACCAAAAAAATTATTTGTTCTTTTCGTCGTTTTTCAAGTCATTGTTTGCAGTAAAGTTCTTTCCGAGTCATTGTATGATCTCTTTTTTGTATTTATAATTTAATTCTTTTTTTAATGTATAGTCTTATCGCGTGGAACATTCGCCAATTGTCCCAAAGGTCGACCCTTATGTGGCTCTAATTGCGTACCCTTTCGGCATTAATAGAATTCGTTTTTAACTATTCAAATAAATACTGTAAATTTAGTGCCTTAATGGTTATAAATGCGTAAACAATTGTATATGCTGCCCTTACGGACGCTCGTGTGGAACTTCCTGCGTGTGTATTTATAATTTTTTTATACCCTCAGAATATTAACAAATATCATGACAATAATTTTGCGTTATAGTGTGAAAATCCACATCAATGTATAAACGGAAAATGCTGTGCTAAAGATAAATTATGTGGCAAAGAATGCGTGAGTATTAATTAATTTTTTTTTTTTTTTCTGTCGTTAGAATTTTTTTTTTTAAACATATATACTCTTCCTAACTTTTCGTAATCATTTTGTAGTGTGTTGATAGTCAGACTTGTCAAAATGGACGATGTGATTGTCCCAACGGCGAAATACTTTGTAGCTCTATCTGCGTTAACACCAATTCTGACAGCCAAAACTGTGGAAGATGCGGTATTAATGCATGTATAAGCAGCTTTTTATTCTTCTTTTGAATTTTCCTTTTTTGTTTTTTTTTAAACTTAATTACTTTTTTCATCACTTTTGCAGTGCGTTGGTGGGCAAACTTGTCAAAACGGCAATTGTGTCTGCCCTAACGGTGGAAAATTTTGTAACACTGCCTGTGTTGACGCTAATTCTGACAGCAATAATTGCGGAACTTGCGGTACCGTTGTGAGTATTTGCGTTTTTAATCTTTTTGATAAATTTCTTTCATTTTAACTTAAATGCTTTTTTAATTACTTTTGCAGTGCGTTAGTGGGCAAACTTGTCAAAATGGAAAATGCGTCTGCGTCTGTCCCGACGGCGAAACACTTTGTGGCTCTACCTGCGTTGACACCGCTTATGACACCAATAATTGCGGAACTTGCGGTGCCCCTGTGAGTATTTGCGTTTTTAATCTTTTGATAAATTTCTTTCATTTTAACTTGAATGCTTTTTTCATCACTTTTGCAGTGCTTGGGTGGGCAATTTTGTCGAAATGGACAATGCTTCTGTCCCTCTGACTTAACACTTTGTGGCTCTACCTGCGTTGACATTCTTACTGACATGCAGAACTGTGGAGGTTGCAATTCTCCTGTGAGTATTTGCGTTTATAATCTTTTTGATAATCTTTCTTTTCTTTCTTTCTTCTTTTTTAATAAAAAAACTTATTATTTACAGTGTCCATATTTTGCAACCTGCTATAACGGCGATTGTATTTAAAAGTACTTGCAGTCAATATGAAAACGCAGGTAAACTTCTGATCCCGCAAACTTTCTTTCGGATTCATCTTGTATTGGCGGGCCTAGAGAGATTGATAATATTAACTTGATTACAAAGCGTTAAAACTTAATTAGTATTATTTAATAAATTTATATATATAATTTTATAAACAAAATTTTTCATTAAATTTTAAGACTTGTACTTGCAAACAAATCAAGGTCAAAACATATCAATAAACTATACACAAGTCATATCAGTCTGCACAGGAGCAATAAAAAATCTTACAAAGCACAACATCAAGAATGCCAAACTGAATATACATGCTGCAGCAGTTAGGTTGGAACAGAAAAATAGAGACAATTGCCTGAATGAATTAACCAAAATAAATATAATAAAAAAAGTAGTGGTCATTCTAAAAGAAATAAGACAAAAATTAAAGAAATTAGAGGTGATATTGAGCAATTGGATGAATGGATTATCAACCTAGAAAACTATAATAAAGAATATATAAAATAATGGAAGAGGATCAGAGCATGAACTGAAATGTCAATCTCCCAATAAAAACTGTAAAGAATTATTAGACAACTGCATGATATTCAAATAAAATAGCAGCAAATTCACTTGATAATAAACAGATTGAATTAGAATAAATAAGATATACAATATCTTGTAAAAGTTCTAAAGAGCAAATTTTTCTTGTCTACATTCAAACAATAATAAGTTAATTTATTATCAAAAGATTAATAATAATCAAAACCAGTAATTTACTAGTATATATAATAAAAATAATTAAAAATAATAGATATAAATCAAGCAATATTGAATTACATAATAAAAAACAAATAAAAAATTTTAAAAGAAAACAAAAGTACTTCAATATGGTTTATAACAATATATAAAATTTAAGAATAGATAAATAATAATAATAATTTTTTTTTTATTGGCACAGTCTTGTTTTATTATTTTTTTCAAATTATATATATACAAGATGGCTGTGGCTATAGTACAGGGATGTGATTCAACAATTAGGGATCGCAATTTTTCTCCAAATCTGAATGATCCATAAATTTGATCTGAATGAATCAAATTTTGAAATCTGATCTAATTGGATTCTAAATTTTGTATCCAATCAGATTTAAAGTTTTAAAACCTAGCCAGGTTCAAATAAAAATTGACAGTTTAACTATATTTAAATGTAGCTATTTAAGGTAATTAAAAAAAAATCTCCTCTTTTTTTTTTTATATTCCTTTAACACTTTTACATGTTTCTTTAAAATTTTGTGATATTTTTTATGATATTTTTCTCTTTGCAATATTATTGATATTATTTACATCAAAATAAAATGGAATACAATAGTTCTTTCAATGATTCCAATGAAATTAATGATGAAAGTTTCAGTTTAGATAGCTATAAATTGAGGAATACTAGTAATGTTGCTACAAGTAGTTTTTTGAAGATATCATTTAGTAATAAAATAAATTATAGAAGTAAAGCGTGAAACTATTTTACAAATGATTCCAATTTTAATGAAAGTAAAAAAGTTTCCTGTAATTATTGCAGCACTAAATATACCTGTAATGGAGGTAGCACCTCTAATCTTTTCAAACACTTAGAAAAAACCACCTGATAAAAATAAATTCAACTTCTAATAAACCTTTAATTGAAAATTTTTTAATACTATAATGGTCAATATAAATATATTTATTAAATTTAAAACTATGCTAAATTTATTTTTTATATAATGGATACATGAACCTAAAAAAATAAAACAAAATCTCATCTGATGGATTGTTATAAACCAACACCCTTTTAAGATTATAGAGGAGCCAGCATTCCATATATTTATCCAATCAATTTAACAAAAAACTAAAATACCAGCTACTGTAATTATTAAAATATATATAATAGATTTGTACTTGATTAAAAAAAATTTAAAAAAATTTTACAAGAAGTGGAGAGTCATATTTCATTCACCCTCGATATTTAGACATCATCTTTGATAAAGACATTTCTAGTGATAACTGTACATTTTATCAGCAGTAATTAGAAAATGCATAATATAACATTAGATTTTGTACAAATTTGAGGTATGCATACAGGTAAAAATATCAAAAAAAGTTTTATATCATGCTTAGAAAAATATATAATACAAAAGAAGATAAATTTATTTTATATTAATATATTACAGTTACATATTATAACATATATATACAGTATATACAGTATATATTTTAAAGATAATGGAAATAATGATTGACAATGCATTAAATAACTTGTTATTTATTAAATTACTGGAAGAATAAGGAAATTTGCAAGCAATTTCTTTCGATGCAGAAGAAAACCATTTTTGATATCTTGCATACTGCATTAATATCATAGTTCAAAAAGTCTTGAATATATTTTTAAATAAATTGTAGAAGATAAATTTTTTATAGATAGGTTATTTTATTTTTATATCTATAACTAACTTATGTATATATAGTTGTATAGGCTTATGTAAAAATATGATTATCACCTCAACAATGTGAAAAATTAAATGCAGCTTGCAAGTCCCTAGGAATAAAAGCTTTGAAACTAATTTTGGATGTAAAAACATGCTGGAATTCAACATATAAAATGGTGGCCCATACTATACAGCCAAAAGCAGTAAGTTTAATTTTTTTTATTGATATTTATTTTAATTTTAATTTTAAAAAATTTATATATAGGCAATCGAGTATATTACGATATCAAGCCAAGAATTAAAACAAAATATATTTACCGATGATGATTGGAATATATTCGGGCAGGTTGTAGAATTGCTCAGGTGTTTAAAAAAACAATAGAAATAATTTCAACATCAAGCTATCTGACTCTTTCCTCGATTATTCCTGGGTATAATACATTAATTGACCATTTAAAAGATATATGTAGTAAAAAAGAAGTTGACAAAATAATAAAAGAAGCAGCTGCTGCTTGTTTAGAAAAATTTAAAGAGTACTATAACAAGAATTATAAAGCAAGCTTGCTGGCAATTATTTTAGATCCACGGTTTAAAATAGAATATTATGAAATAAATAAGTAGAAAGAAATGGTCAGTGAAATTAAAGAAAGGCAAGTATATTTTTATATTTTATTAAATACGATAGAATAAATATTAAGCATATTGCAATTTTAAAGTTTTTTAAAAGCTTTTCAAAAATAGTGATAGATATGCGGGAGGGTG